TGATTTCAATGGGCCATTTTATGATGAAGATTACTATGGACATAACTCTAGAAGTTCAAGTTCATCCACAACTAAGCGAAATTTCAAACCACCTAAGCCATGCGATCATCGGTGGCGTAATTACAATTCTCCTACCAGTGCATATATTGTTATGTCTAAATCCCAGAAACGTTGCCGATAAAGGATGGATTGCATGGCCTGTCGGCGAGCGACAAGCTATCATGATCGAGTTGCTTCGAGGTTGGACACTTACCTGGATACACGAGATGCTTGCATTGCATATCAGGAGTAGGTTCACAAGGCTTTGCAAACACAAGATCAAGTCCCAGTGGCAATTGAACCAATTTCCAAAGCCAAGGATGAGACGGCCACGCCGAGTACCCCAGGTGCAACTATTTCACCTTTGGTGCAGATGACATCGTTTGGGTGGTTGAAAATCAAGATGTTCTGCCAAACAATCTAGAGGACAAGGATTGTGACCCCATGGGTTCCTCAGTTGTCGACAACATGGAATTGAGCATAGTCCATGTTTTACCCGCAGAATTCCAGACGACCACGTCTCAACTAAGCTTTTTAGATGGTTATGTGGTTGCCGAAGAAACAACACAAGTCGAGGTTGTGGCTATTGAAGAGGTCGAACCAATTAGCAAGGAAGATAAGCTCAGAGCAGCCTTAGTGGAGCTTTTTCCCCATTCCTCGGCTGTTAACCTTCATCACCTAAAGCCGTTGTACGTAACGGCCCATATCGAAGGATATTCGATATCAAAAGTTTTTGTTGATTGTGGTGCAACAGTCAATATCATGCCCATTTTCGTTATGAAAGCTTTACATCATTCCAAAGACAAACTCATTCCATCTAGTGTACCTATGAATACTTTTGTGGCGATAAATCTCAGACTAAAAAAGTCCTGCCTTTGGAAGTCAATATCGCAAGTCAAAACCATATGACCGCGTTTTTTATAATTGCCTCCAAGACCGAGTACAATGCATTGCTCGGTCGTGACTAGATCAACAAGACTGGTTGTATTCCTTCTTCGCTATACCAAGTCCTTATTTTTTAAGATGGCAAATCGGCCATAGTTCATCCTGCTAATAGCAGCAGTTCAAAGCCAACATGATTCAAGCCTGTTATTACGACCACCAGGTCGGCTGTATCACTTTACACGGTTTTAGTGAAGAAGGCATGTCGACCATAATCTCTATCCAGAAAGCCATCGAGGTTGGCGCTAGAACCATTCAGCAGGATTTGGCGATACCTATGTCCTAATGATTGATGCAACACGACGGGATGAACGAAGCCAATTGTCCTAATGATTGATGCAACACGACGGGACGAACGAAGGGTCGCGGTTTCATTTACGATGGAATGGCTGCTGGCCCACTAGTACACCATTTCCAAGGAGTTAAATTCTGGCATGAATTTAGTGGAGTTCCTCACTAAAGGAAATAATGGCCCAGAGTTGTCCGTCTATAAAATTTAAGCTGCACCGGCCAAGCTCGAAGAAAATCGGCTTGAATTCAAAGATTATATAGAAGAAATAAATGTTGGGACGGCCGACGAACCTCGGCCTTTATTTATTAGTTCTTTGTTACCTCAGCATATGAAGGGTAACCTTTGTAAATTACTTGAGAAATTTAAAGATGCCTGGCCTTTATTTATTAGTTCTTTGTTTTGCTTGGAGCTACCATTAGATGCTTGGCATTGATTGTACATTGGTTGAACACGAGTTATGCTTTAAACCCAACCGTAAACCTTTCTGCCAACCTCCACGACAATTCTCGATCGAAGTTCAGCTCGGCATAAAAGATGAACTTGTTCACCTTTCAAAAGCTGGCTTTATTCATACGGCTCAATACATCGAATGGTTGGCGAATATTGTCCCAGTTTTAAAAAATAGTAGTGTTTTGCGCATTTGCATTGCTTTTCGTAATCTGCATTTGGTGACTCCTAAAGATGAACACCCAATGCCAATTTCGAATTTGTTAATCGATGCTGCAGTAAACCATGAGATCTTATCTTTCATGGAAGGCCACTCGGGTTACAATCAAATTTTCAACACCAAGGCCGATGTTTATAAAACTAATTTTCGATGTCCCGGGGAGCATAGGACTTACAAATGGGTCATCATGTCTTTTGGACTTAAGAACATGGTACCACATATCAATGTGCCATGAATACCATTTTCCATAACCTAATTAGCAAAATTGTTGAAGTATACATCGACGATGTCGTAGTTAAGTCCAAACACCGCCAGACACATTTAGAAGATCTTCGGCAAACTTTCTTTCGCATGCGCCAGCATAAACTCAAAATGAACCCCGTTAAATATGCCTTTGGCATATCTGCAGGAAATTTGTTAGGTTTCCTTGTGCACCATAGAGGCATCAAGGTGGATAAGAACAAGGCTCGTGCAATCATCGACACTCCACCCCCGACAACTAAGAAGCAGTAGCAATCCTTGCTTAATAAGATCAATTTCCTTCGCCGATTTCTTTCTAACTTGGCAGAAAAAATGAAGGTTTTTTCCACGCTCCTAAAACTTAAGGGTTTTGACCAGTTCGAATGGTGAGACGAACATCAGGACCCTTTCTCAAGTTTTATATCTCGGCTGCCAAAGAATCTATTGGTTGTCTTCTTGCGCAAGACAATGACATTGGTCAAGAGCAAGCCATCTTTTACCTCAGCCGAAATCTTAACTCGGCTAAGACGAATTATTCGGCCGTCGAGAAACTTTGCTTAGCTTTATTCTTTGCCACGTCTAAACTTAGGCATTACATGCTCCCTGCAGTTACTCAAGTCATTGCCCAAACTGATGTTATTCGATATATGCTCACTCAGCTCATAGTCAAAGGCCGAATTGGGAAATGGACTATGGCATTATCCGAATTTAGTTTGCAGTACGTTCCCCAAAAAGCCGTTAAAGGTCAGGCTCTGGCCGATTTCTTAGCTCAACACCCTTCTCCGTACAGTTTTGTGGGCAACGACATCGAAATTGGCATGGTGGTAACACATGACAATTATTGCACGATGTATTTCGACTGTTCTAGTACTGAGACCTCTGCCGGTGTCGGCCTTATCATACAATCACATGACTACTATAGGTGCTATTTTTCTCTCAAGTTAGACTTTGATTGTACCAACAATTAGGCCGAATATGAAGCCCTCGTCATCAGCCTTAACATTCTTCATGACTTGAAGGCAGCCCACGTACTCGTCCTTGGAGATTCCTAACTTGTGATTAACCAACTCAATGAGACTTTCCATTGCATGAGTTATACTCTGGCACTCTATCATATGGTTGCCAGCTATTTAGCCGAATCATTTGTAGGCATCCCTTTCAAACATGTCTCTCGACTTCGGAATACTGATTCAGATAAGTTAGCTCAAATAGCCTCTAGAGCACAACTTATAGGGGACAAGGTAGGCCGGGTCATACTAGTTGATCGACATTCGTATCCAGCCTTGGTTAATCAACAAAACGGCGTAATCCGAACATGAGTTATGTCTTTGCCTTCATTCCTCAAACGAAAGGTTCATGCAGACATCGATGTGGTCGAGACATTGCTAGATGATTAGAAAAGATCCATTAGACGATACCTTGATGACCCTAGTTGCAAGCAGGATCGCAAGACAAGGGTACATTCTACAAATTATATAGTATATCAGAATAAGTTGTTCCAAAAAGGTGAAGATGGTTTGTTGTTATTGTGTCTTGGCCCAGAAGAGGTCGTTCAAGCTATCACAGAGGTGCATGAAGGGATATGCGGTGCTCATCAATCTGGTAGCAAAATGAGATGGTTGATCCCCTAACACGGATATTTCTAACTGAATATCTTAAAAGATTGCATAGAGTATGCATGGAGTTGCTTACAATGTCAATTCCATAAACCTATTCAAAGAGTCCCAGCGGAATTGCTTCACTTGGTCACCAAACCATAGCCTTTTAGAGGCTGGGCCATGGATGTAATTGGCAAAATTACACCGTCGTCTGGATCAGTGAAACATGTGTGGATACTCGTAGCAATTGATTACTTCACCTAGTGGGCTGAAGCGAAATCGTATGCTGAATTAACCTCCAAAGAAGTTTTCAATTCGTAGAAAAACACATTGTAACAAGGTTCGATGTCCCATAAACAACTATTATGGACAACGGCACGATTTGCACGGCCGATAGGTTTAAAAACTATATAGCAAGTTTGAGAATTCAGCTTGAACAGTCCATGCCATATTAACCATAGGTGAATGGGCAGGCCAAAGCAAGCAACAAAGTTTTGATCAGTATTCTCGAAAAAATGGTGAAGGCAAGACCTGGTATGTGGCATTTAAGGTTAAATAAGGCATTATTGGCATATCGAACTTCACTTCGATCAACAACAGGGACGGCTCCATATGCTTTAACTTATGGGCACAATGCAATGTTGCCAGTCAAGTTAAGTATAAACTCAAAGCGAATTATCGAACAAAGTAGTTTGTTCAGCGCCGAATATAGTCAAGCAATGAGGCAAGATTTGGAAGATCTAGAGGAGGCTTGACTCGATGCTTTTAACTTGCTAGTAGCATAGAAAATATCGCCGAGTGAACTTATAATCAACGAGTAAAGCAAAAGACGTTTGGCAAATGTGATTTAGTCTGGCAAACAGTGTTGCTACTAGGGATCAAGGATCCCAGATTTGGAAAATGGTCACCAAATTGAGAAGGACCATTTATTCTTCACAAAGATCTCGGCAAGAAGGCATACCATCTCAAGGATCGAACTAGTTTAATATATAAGTTGCCAATCAATAGGAAGTTCCTAAAAAAGTGTTATAAGAAATATTTCATTAAGTCAGCAAAAAATATGTATACCAAAGTCAACCGGCCCACAAGTTGGCATCGGGAATATAATCTATAGGGTCGAAGGAAGGAAAGCTTTAATTGTGGTTGTTAGCCCTAGTCATTTTACTTTGCCCATAGTGATCTCAGCTTCCCGAGTTCTCTTGTCAGTCTTCAGCATTTATATTCATTTTACGCCAACCGCATACTCTGCCAGCCGAGGTTTATTTGCCTCAAAGTCCCTCTTAGACTCAAAGGCAATGGAAACCCTTTGGGATTGAAGTTCAGCAAACTGACGATCAAGGTCAGCCATTTTCTCTTTCTTTGTCTTCATTGCCTTGAGCTCTGGTAGGATAGCTTCTTGAGCGGTTGTTGCAACCTTCAGGTCCTCATTAACTTGAAGAGCTTTCTCAAAAATATCAAAGTATAGTTGAGTTCTCTCCAAAACGGTCGTCAGGTGAACAATGCTTTCATTGCTTACCAGACCATCAGCTGCAAGGTTGTTTAAGCATTTTCCCACAAAGTCGAGGCCTTTGTTTTGACGAGCTTGCAAGGTTGACAAGGATAGAGTCTCTTAAAGCTTGGTCAGAGTGTTAGACTCAGCCGGGGCTACAAAATAACCAGTTGTCTTGGATGTGCTGGCAAAATAGGCGTCGAGCTCCACTTCCCGTGAAGGTTGCACAAAAAGAAAGGTTAGATAAGCAAAATCTAAAGGAAAACATGACAGGAGAAGTTGTTTTAGACTTGTCGAGAAGTGACTTCAGCCATATCTTCTAGGTTATTGGTTAAACCCAGATAACTTAATGGCCAAGCCCAATGTTTCAGACAACTTTTCAATTCATATGGCCGATGAAGGTTATTTATGTTTGATGACCACCTAGGTGGTCATGAAATATAGACAATGCCCTTTGGCGCATAAAATTTTTGATGGAATGATCGATTGGGAACCTAACAGTTGACGGTTTTATTTTTGTTTAGCATTCCAAGACAAAATTCAGAATAAAAATTAAACTTACAAAGGCTGAGGTGATGTCTTGTGCGAGGATGCTGAGATTTGTCCTGATGATGAACTAACGTCTCCGTGGTCGCTTCTTCCCCTGTAGAAGTTACCGGCTCGACGGCTGGCCTTTCAGCTGCCACCTCAAGATTCGCATGACTAGTGGCCTCGACTGGTAGTTGGATATCCCGGTCTGGATTAGGCGTAGATGATATGACACCTTTACCTTTGTCCAGAGGTAAGAGAACCTCATTTGTTTGCTCAGCCGGTCGAGGACACCTCACCAATGGGATTGGGTCACTGCTGTTTTCCTGGTAACAAAAATGGATTAGATACCAATCAAAGATGTTTAAGGAAAAAGAAGCTTTGAAAACTCTGTGCCCTATCTAGAATATTCGACGGTGGAATAATTTTTAGATTAGGAGAATGAGTCATTTTGGTCAAGATTGTGGTCACCTCATCTAGAATAATAGCTGTTGGGTTGACGCCAGTGGCATAAGGGATGGTCGAGGCTTATGCCGCAACCTCCTCGGTCACTAGAGTAACGACTTGTTCAGCCATGGCATCAACCTATAACATGAGTTGAATTGTGGCCATCTGATTAACATTTAAGGCCGAGGAATTTTGCAGTGTCCCTGTTGGGACCTCGACGCTAAGGGTAGGACAAAGAGTGTCAGGAGTTGAAGTTCGTGTTTCCTGCCTAGAAGTGACAAGAATCTCATGTTCCCCCTTCTTGGCTATCTTCTTTGTCTGTTTCATAGGTCGAGCAACGTAATCAGTCACCTTGGAAGAAAGACAAAGTTATTTGCCCACCGTTGTAAGTACAACAGCAGCGCCTGCTGGAGTTAGAGTGGTTGAAGTCATCTTGGGAGAAGGGGCCATGACAACAATAGCCTTCTTCGATGGAAGGGCGAGCTTTTTTCTAGCCGTGACCATCATGATTACTTTGGCCCGTTTTATCGAGTGACCACATGGAAAAACTAATTGAGAGTCAGGACAAAGATGTTTAGGCAAGTATATGTGTGTGTGTGTGCGCGCACGTGCATGTGTGTGTATAAGCAAAACAAAATAAAAGTACCTTGAGCCATGTCTCTAGATTTTGGAGCAAGAGTTTTATTTGGTCGATCACCGAAGATTTTGTTCTTGATTTCCTTGGTTGATGTGCCAAAGAAATCTTTGGTGTAGATTTCCCACCAGTCGGTGAAGGCACTAGTACCATAGGTTTCAGGGGTATTCAACCGAAGGCAGAATTTAGTGCACCATTCTTGAAACTCTTGCTCTACTTCCTCACATTCCCTTTATGAAAAGCTAGAAAATCGTTATCAACTCAAAATGGAGCAAGAAATGAGTAGAATTACATGATAACCCTGGAGATAGCCTAGTTATCGAGCCACAAAATGGGGATGGTAGACTTTCTAATTGACCCACCGAGCGTCACAACCAAAAAAAAGGTCGTCAGCCAGCACAGACAATCCCTAGATCTGCTGTAGATCGGTGCCTTCTATTTCCTCCCATATGAATGTGGGAAGCCTGATGGAGGATGGTTAATTTCTTCAATGACAGATCAAGAATTCATCTTTGGTAAGGTCGTCTAGGTAGAAGAAATATTTAAAATTTCTTCGACTAAGTGAGTCAGGTTTGGGCGTGAAGCTAGTTGAAGGCCCATTGCTTCAGACAAGTCGAAGTTGAAGTTCTATGGCCTGGTGATGGAAAAATAAACTTACAACCAAAGTTGAAAGACCCAGAGTGGGCCGTTCTGGTGTCAGTGGATTTTCCTAACAGTTGCCTTGACCAAGCAGTGCGTAAGGTTAGCAAGGATGGCGGGGCTAAGGGCCAAAGTGTGATCGCTGGCCACGGCTTCGGCCACTGGCATATTCTCAACAAGGCATTTATTTGACTTGGTAAAAAAGTTGAACTTGTTGTACCAGTAGAACAAGAAGGCCTCGTGTTCTCCATTCTTGAGTTTTTCTTTTTGTAGGCTGGCAAAGTGATTGATGAGAGTGCTGTAGTTGAAGAAATTCTTGTGTATCTTGTTTACTTCATCTTTTAATACTTTCCCTTGGTTATCTTTTTTTAGAACTTCAAGAGCGCACTTGTCGAAGATTATTTTCAAATCCAAGTCGAATTGATACCAAGAGAGAGTGGTATTAACTAAGACCAGATGGTAAGGTGCCAAGGATAGCTATCACGTCTATAATGGTTGGAGCAATAGGGCTGAGAGGAAACACCATGGTGTTAATGGCTGAGCACCCAAAGCTTAGAGCTGCCATCACGAGCTTTCGGTCCATGCTGACCTCGATGATCAAGATCTTAATGGCATTGAAGGTGCCAATTGATTTCTAGTCGTCACCGAAGTGTGGTTCCATTTGGCTAACCTAAGCAGCCCAGGCTATAGAGGTTGAAGGCGAGGCTTCCTGAGGTTTGGCTAATTCCCATTTCGACCAATTATAACCTTTGAATAAAAGACTCAGACAATGGCCCTTCATCATTTTAGTAATGACTTATGGGATGTCATCTTTAAACAAAAGGCACATGATCTAGTTAGAGGCAACTGAATCCTCTTCAAATCAAAGAGTTTAGATGGCATTCCGATCGATAAAGTCATGACACTAGTCACATTCTTCGACAAGCTTAGTGATGAAGGTGTTAGCAGCTATTGAAGCGACGGTTTAGAGGTTTTTTTGGGGTTTCAAATGAGGGATTTTCTTTCTGGGTTTCGAATGATCAGAGTAAAATGGCAAGAGTTCTGGGATTTTTGAAATCATAAACGATAAATGAGACCGAAATTGGTATTTATAGGCATTAGAGAGGAAGATCGATGGTTTCATATTTGAAAGTTGAGTGCTAAATCTAGCTGAATATTTTTCAATCATTACAAAAATAAAAAAATCCAAGCGAAGAGGCCGAAAAGCACGCGAATCAGGGTTGCACGATTGTGTGTGACGACGAACTTTAAGGCACAATCATTACGAAGGGATGTTTCGACATCTACGCGCCTCGAGTATGGGGAGCATACGTGTTGGAAATATGCCCTGAAAGTCAATCTTTGGAAGAAACCTTTCAGGACAATTGAATCGATGTATGGATGACTCTTATACATCAAATGGCAAAGATACTAATTAGGACTATCTCAATAAACGATATATGTCCTAAATAGTGTATCCATGGACAATGGATCGATTGAAGAAGTAATCTAATGATGTTAGACTACAGAGACCTTCTTCACATAACCAAATGTCCAAAAAGGTTCCTGGTCATTGGATTGTTGGAGGGATACTGACAATTCGTAGACCGGTATATACTGTGTCCGCTTCAATTGGAAGGATGGAAAGTCTCATCCCATTCGTGTTGTGACACTAAGACAAGTATGTAAGTGCTCATTAAGGGAATGAGTTCACTGAACAAATCGAACGAGAGTACTTGCATGGAGGTCTACTCACATGTCAAGCAAGTAACTCTAATGGTTGGAATAATGTAAGTAGTCCTTTGACCTGAGGCATCGTCGTTGTCTTGTGGTTAAGTACTTAATCTTTGATTATGTCAAAAGTCACTTTATCAGAATGTCAACGGCATAGTTGGGGTTAAGCCACTTAGTCATGAAGGCAAGTGTATGCGCAACAAGGAATCTCTAATCCTCGACAAGAGAGGAAGAATACTCTAAGATATGATTCGGGAATCTTCGGCCGAAGTATCGAGCGTAATAAAGGAAAGCGTTCCTATACGACTCAATTGAATCATATAAGAAGGAATTACATTAGGGGTTTGACATAATATATCCATACCCTAATGATGTGATTGAGAGTATTGTTTTAGAGAAGGATCGAATTACATTGTAATTCCAACTGAATAGGTTCTCCGAATAAACTTCCACATTAGCTTGGGTAGCTATGACATATGGTTAGATGTCACTCATAGCTTGTGAGTTCTTCTAGATGATTAAATGTAGTCGTCAAAGAAGAAAGGTGAATCAAAATGAAGTTTTAATTCACTAAGTGATTGAATTAAATATAATCAATTGGATTGATGCCAATCACCTCACTGCCTTGCTAATTAGAACCTAAAAGATTGTTCACCAATACACTATTGTAGTGAGTAACTAATGGATGATGGAAATAATTAATTGGATTAATTAAGTGTTGTGATTAATTTAGAAAGTCTAAAGAAATCATAAAAGCAATAAAGATCGTTTTGGGCTTAAAGAAACGTTCGGGTTTAATTGGGCCCATTGGGCCTAAACTCATTGGGCTTTTATTCAAGCATTGGATGACTTGAAATAATAAAAGCCCAAAGCCCAATCCAAACACTAAAGGGCCGGCCATTTTAGGTGTGGAAAGGGTGAGATATTTAGTCAAGTTGTTGGCTAGGTTTCTTTTGTCTATATAAGGAACTTTATAGAGATATTGTTCAATAGGGTTTTTTGTGTGTTTAAAACAACAAAGAGGCAAAAGAAATATCCCTCTAAAACTACACAAAGGCCGGCCACCTTAGGGGTGTTTTTACTAACACATCTTTCACCCTTTTGGTTATTCCTTCATCCTTCTCACTACACTAGTGGGTGAGGATCTTTAGAGGTTTCCTACTTTGGAAACTTGAAGAGAACCTAGGAGCACTCATACTATCAAAGTGGAGGAGGCAAGGAGGGAAGCTAGGCTCAAGGAGTTCGAGGAACAAAGGGCTTGGAGGTGGTCCATCCTTGGTCTCAAGTCTAGATCAAGAGGTATAAGACTAAACCTTCACTTTGTTCTTCTCTATAAATTGTTTTGATGCATTATAAATAAACCTATGAACCTTGAAGGGGATTTTCATGACTATAGCTTTGATAATTTGTTATAAATGCTTCTGCTGCTTTCGTATATTAAATTTGATTTGTATATGCATGTTAGTCATTTTGAAATCCCTATATGTGAAAACTCATAATTTTCCCTTCAATACGTCACCAAAGCTAGACAACCGCAATGAGAAGCTGCCGCATGTCAAACATTTACGACGTTTAAGGACCGAAATGCAAGGTGGGAGATCGTGCCTAATAAAGGCATTTGAGAGGAGAATGTTCATCTTTGCAAGGATTTTTTTATTAACCGATAAGTGTAGGCCGAATGCTTATTTTTGTTTGGTAATAAATCGCTTCTTTAAGGTCAAAGTTCGGCCAAGTCGAATACCTCAGAAGCGAAGGGGCAATGTTTCGGCCCAAAATAACACTTTGGGGTGAGCCTAAAGTTGCTCTCGGTCAAATAAGGATTATCAAGAATATTATATGTCATAGGCCGAGCCCAGTAGAGTTCTGTCGAATCCTATCAAAATGTGATTTCTGCCTGGATAAAGGTGAAGTGGCCAAATCCTAATTCAATAGAGATTCTTCATAGGCTAAAAGCTTCTGAATCAGAAATGATGCTGAAAGTCAAGGGTTAAATCTGAATGATTACAAAGCTTGGTTCATAATCTTATAGGAGTTAGGATTGGTTGAGGCTAAATCAGATTGGGATGAAGAATTCTAGTCTGAGTAAAATTCTAGTTCGGTAATTGGGGAAATTGCTACAATAAATAAAGAAAGGTGTGCATCATTCAAAGTCCCTTCCAATACACACAATTTCCTTACGCAAACCTCTCAAAAACCTTGAGATTTTTTTTTCTTTTTTTCCCGCCAACACATCTTCAATTTGGATAAACAACACTATGGAGGCAACCGGCAACATCTTCAGTTTGGATAAACAGCACTGGAGTAGTAGAATCAGCCGATCGATGAGCACCTTCAGTTTGGATAAACATCACTGCTTCAAGACCGACTGGTTATTTATCCAAATTTCAGTCAACAAGGATTTATGAGTCCTTGTTGGAAAAGGTCATCTCATCAACCTTCTCGGCAAAGTAAGGTGTTACCAGGTTACTACATTCGACACATTGAAAGCCGAATTTGATATTGAAAGCAGAACTAGTAGCCTTGTCTTCAGGCTCTATAACCCGAAGGCCAAGATATGTTCCTTCCTTGGCCACAGTCGCGCAATCAAGAAGTCAACAGCACACCCAACGCTACATCAACATATTTTACTCCCCAGCTGAACTCGGTTGACGAGTTGGCACACTCTACATTCAACCGAAAGACGTAGTTAGCTTATTAATTACTCAATCTGCGCGCCACGTAGGCTAGGTAGATTTTAGAGTCAACAATAAGCTTAGAGCAACTCCACTATGGGCAATAGCCCTGTGGACTGGCAACAAAACCAATCCAATCGCTTTCCAAAGTAAAGCCAGCCCAATCAAGCAATTGGTCTAAAGAGGAACCTGTGGGAGAAGTCAGGTGCAAGTCTAATGCCGGAGCACCTGAGAGGGGAGTGATGTAACCCACGTTATAAAAAAATTTGCGTCAGGCACGTGCATAACACGTGCATGTGCGGGTATGTCTCCGACAACATTTCAGGCAGTAGGACCCGCGTGGTAGCCCATTCAATAGTCGTTGTTGGAAGCAACGTGGCTTCTTGTATGCTGTTGGATTTTCAACTGCCCTTTTTTCTAGACCATTGGATTTCCAGCTATAAAAAAAATTTCAAACCTTCCTCAACGGCTAGATGACATGACACATTTGAACCGTTTGATTTGCAAATCAACAATCCACTTTTTCAACTTTAAATTTTTTTTAAAAATAAGAAAAAAAAATCTTATATGTTACCATTAGGCCATGTGTCACAATCTAGACTGTTGGATTTCAAATTTTTTGTAATCCAATGGTCCAGATTAATTAAGTTAATAAAAAAATTTAAAAAAGATTAAAAATTAATAAAAAATCCCAAAATCTACATTGGGTAGGGGTTGTCTGCTAGGTAGTATGCTCCTGAGTGTACGGTTCCATTGATTATATATGTGACTGGAGGAGATCTTCCTGGCAAGACATCGTTGAACACTGAGGATTGGGCAAAGACATTGAGGTCATTTTGACCTCTTGGAACACCCAAAAAAACATGTCAAATCCATGTATCAAATGATGTCACCGCCTTCAAAATGATACTTTTGACTCATTTTTCTGTCTCTATAAACTTCTTGCCAGGCAGTTTTTCCAGGTCCAGTGCATACAATCGATGCTTCCAATCATGCCAGGAAAATATCACATCTCACCCTACTTCAGAAGCCTTTGCAGGTCAATTATCGTGGGACTCCGAAGGTACTCTTTGGTGTAGATAGCTTCGATCAGAGCAAAACCTCATCAAGGACTCAAGAATGGTTGATTTCCCCATCCGCTGTATCTCATCTACTAGGTCTGCAGATGCTCTGTATACAAGCATCCGCAAGGTAGCAGTAATTTTTTGCTTAGGAAGAAGACCCATGATTTTGTTGAACAAATGTCGTTGCATTCTAAAACAACGTCTAAAGTATGCATTAGGGAATGCACTGCTACAATAAAAATAATCGTCCAAGAGATCTTTACCTCGTTGTTTGCAGACCGCCTGGGCTTAGAGATCTCAACCGCCACAGCTTGGATGACTCGACGGGAATATGAGGCTTTCTCACTTCTTGCTTTGTCATCTCTCTTTCTACGCTCCTCATCCTCTTCCTCTTCCATCTCATATTTCTCCCTCCTGGAGATTAAACATTTCTTCTTCCTTAAACAATTCTTTCTCTTGCTCATCGATTTCCCACAAGATCCTTGAAGAAAACATTGTAAGAAGTCAAGATTTATAAACTATAAAGACGGATATAGATTTGAGAGATTTTGATTTCGGTCTGTGATTTCTTATGATGAATGGTGGGTTATATGGAGAAAAAAGAAAAGATTAGGTTGTAGATAATGCCACATGGCATGCCGTGATTCGTTAAAAATCTTATCGAAATTTATCCTTAAAGATTCTAAATAGACAGTGACACATGAGACAACGGGATTGGTTAAAAATCTTATCGAAAATCTATCCTCAATGATTCTAAACAGGTAACAACACATGACGTGACAGAATTAGATAAAAATTTTATTGAAATCTCTCACCAAAAAATATACTTTCAGATAATGACATATGGCATGATGAGATCAGTTAAAAATCTTATCTAAAATTACAAATAAAATTATTTTATTATTTTATAATAAAAAAATATTAATATTTTAATACGAATTGTCTAAGCTATTCAGTTTAGGGGTGGAGACGCAATAGGCAATTACTATTTATTAAAGGTGGTTACTATTCACTTAAGGTGATTGATTTACCGATTACCATAGGGAGCCTTTACACACTGAAACTGCTCTTACAACAATTAACCTCCATTGCAAAACACTCATAAGGCATTCCTTAATAGTTAATGTCACAACCTGTCCTAAAATATCTATTCTTGACGGCATGAGATTACTTATTTACCCTTGGACGTTTTGTGTGGTTAGGTGGGTGAAGTTTTATTTGAACCAATTCAAAGATTTTCCTAAGGTTTTGGAACACTTAGAACTTAAAAGAGTTGTTTTGTGTATTGGAAGACCAAGTAGGACCAACACACCCACACACACTTACCCAACCTTTCTCCAGTGCACTCTCTCTCCTCTCCCTTTCGATTTTTCTGCAACATCTATAAAAGTGTACGGACAAATCTCGAACCCTCTCTTTCATATGCGGATCGGGCTTGTAGACACCATCATCATCTTCATCTCATCGTCACGATCCCATCCATACCATTTTAGGATGTGAAAGCTTCAGGATGGTGGGAACCAAGAACCCCGAATGGAGGTACTGTTCATGCACACATTAATGTGGAGTTTTTGGAAGATTTCATGCTTATAGGGAGCTTAAGGACCTCTCCACGAAGCTCGGAGAAGAAAAATAGCATGATTTGGATGTCGGGAAGTCAAGATCGATGCATTTGAAGTTTGGCCGGATTATCGAAGGTTCTCCGGCAAATTTCCATGATTTTAGGTCCCAAATCAGGTATAGTTGTGTTATACTCGTCCTACGCTTCAAATTGGTGCAAGTTTTACTAATTTTAGTTAAGTATTGGACGAGATATGAAGGTTTTTGCATTTTCCAATTTCCCGGCAACTGCGGCGACTGGCGAGGTTCATCGGAAAAGAAAGAAGAATATTCCTAACAGCAGTTAGGGATTCCGTTAGGTTTCCATGCGCGTGGTTGCACGTGTTGCCATGCACTTGCCGGCACGTGGCAGCGAGTGGGACGTCGGAATTTTTTTCTAAAAATATAAGGATGTTCATGAGGTTGTGTGGATCACGTTGGTATATTCAAATATCCCATTTGAGCATGTATGAGAAGTTATTAGCTAGTATTGGTTATGTGCTTTAAATTAACGTTTTTATAGTTGTTTCGCATATAGGGGACATTTATCCTTAGGATAAGCGCAGTCAAGGGTGACGCGACTCGGCGGCTACGACCATTCGACATACCAGTGAGTGGGTTTTTGGTTTGTAGTATATATTTATATACTTGATATTTTCCCAGAAAATGTGTTTAAATGAAAGTATGCTTTGAAATGCCATGCATATAAATTTATATTCAGCATATGAATAAGTATATGATGCATAATATGAATTTGTGCTATGGACGCTCAGGTAAGTACTAGGTGAGTATTGTTTTGTTATATGAGATATTGATAATATGACACGTGATTGAGAGCTCATAAACATGCACCTCGGGTGATTGTGATTTAGCCAGAGATATAGTACAAGCCTATTTATAATGTCACCTCCCGCACCATATGCTCACATGGGATCCAATTTAGGTGCACAGTCTTATCGTACAGGCCATTATAGGTGGTTCCAACTCGTAGGTGACTAGCGATTTATCGCACAGCTATCATGATAGCGTAGCATTTAGCATAACTATATTACACCCAGTCTTGTCGTACAGACCCTTCCAGTGGTTCCGACTCGTGTGCAGTATAGTGTCATATAGGTCACCTGTAGTGACTCCAGCTAGATTGACTAATAAGCTATGAATTCAGCCAAACAGACTTCTACTGCGGTTCCGGCTAATATGTTATTTTCCATGAAATTATTTTCACCTAAGTTACTTACTCTGTTTTATATTTTGGCATGGCATATTTATGATTATGGATATGTGAAGCATGATTTGAATATATATATATATATGTTCATATGTTTATATTCTAATTCTGGGAAAATTATACATGTTTTACGGTGACGGGTTAGAGCGTTTGATAAATGAAATGATTTTGAAAAGCTTTGTTTTTGCCCACTCACACTTTCTGTTTTGCGCCTCTCCATGTTTTAGGTAGACCCATCTGTTGGTGGCATTTGAGGATTTCGGCAGTTTTGACAGAATAAAATATTCGTAGGATATCTTCTGGTATTTTATAACTAGTACTTGTCCTATTAGACTGCACCTAGACTTTCTATGATCTGATTAGGTGTATTTACACTTGTATCCCATTTCTAGCATTTTCTGCTTATTAGTGCACATTAGTAGCTTTCGATTTTTAATTATTCGTATATTTCTTATCCTTATCGCTTCCGCACTGTGCCCATGCTATGTCACCCTCACATGACGGCCAACATGCCCTGATTCGGGTCGAGGTGTCTCAGTTTGGTATCAGAGCCTAGGTTTAGCAGTCCTGTATATCTTGTGAATGATCTAATCATTATGATGTCTTATGCCAGAACTATGCCACCTCGTAAAGATCCATGTCACTCAGCTAAGCCTAGTTTCCCTGATATTACTCAGTTAGGGAAGGCTATAACTAATGCCATTCAGTTTTCGCTCCATCCTCCTTAAAGGACACCTCTTCAGACTGTGTATAACCTGAAGCTGAATCATTTCATGGGTAATGAAGGACATTAGGGAGCGGAGAAGTGGCTTAATCATGTCGAGAAGACTTTCCTTGTGATGCAGAGTCAGTGGAATCTTCCTCCTGATAGGTGGGTCGACGACTACCTGGTTTTTGGGTCCGGAGCTCGCATCCTGGTGGAGACAGGAGTCCTATCAGATGCCACCAGAGGTAGTAACCGATTGGAAGGTGTTTAAACAGTTGTTTCGGATATGGTTCATTCCCCCTAAGTATATTGATTGCAAGAAACAAGAGTTTACGCATCTGAAACAAGGAAAGATAACGGCAAATGAGTATTACAGGAGGTTCACTTATTTTTCTCGATATGATCCGGAGGTTGCTGCTAATCCGGTTGAGATGCTCTATCGTTTCAAGTTAGGTACTAAGAAGAAATGGCGTTCTATAGCAACATTGACCTCTTGTGCTACTTACCAGGAGTTTTATGAGGTTTTACTGCAAATTGAAGACTCAGAGAACATGCCCAGTGAAAGTGAAGATGAAGAAGAAAAGAACGGGAACCAGATGTGATATGATAAAGGTAAAGTTCAATCATCTAAGGAACCTCGTAAGACCTAGAGTTTTAAGAGAAGTGGTATCAGTTCCAGCTCTTCTAGTGGAGGTTTGAGCTCTCATGTGCAGAGGAGAGGTGGTAGATTTTCTGGAAGCCCGAGATTTCAGAGGCAGAAGGACTTTGGTGGTTCAAGTGGTTCAGGTGTTTCTTTATGCTGCAGGTGTAATAATAGGCATTACTAGGAGTGTAGGAGAGGCACAGTGCATGCTATACTTGTGGACAGATGGGGCATAAGGCTACTCATTGTCCTAAGAATCAGCAAAGGCCCCAACAGCCTTCCTTACCACCACATGCGCCGACCTAGCAAGCTTCAGGACCTAGTGGTTATGCTCAGACTGGTCGTAGAGGTGCTTATCATTATCAGGGCGATGTCATTCCTTATGCTACAGGGCAGTATCAGTACTCATAGGATCCTCATTTTCAGGGTGGTTACCCTCAGTATCAAGGAGGTTCTATGCCATATCAGCCACATTCAGCAAGTGGATCCCAGTGGTACCAGGGGACAACCCCAGCAGTTAGAGATTGCTGCTAACAGTGCAGGATCTTCAAGGCAGTCTGGTCAGCCGAGACAAGGACGAGGTATTCATGCTAGCAGAAGTCGTGGTGGACGACAACAGAATCAGAGACGCATCCATAATATGACACTGCAAGATGCTCAGAACAATCCTGATTTAATCATGGGTACGTTAAATATTCTTGGTCATTTTGCTAGAGTATTGATGGATTGTGGTGCTACGCATTCTGTTGTTTCTCATACATTTGCTCAAATGACACAACCTCGTCCTCCACCGCTAGGATATGATTTAGACTTTTCTATGCCTAGAGGGGAGAGATGTTATGTGGATCGGGTATATCCAGGATGTCCATTAATGGTGAAGGATGTTGTTATGCCAGCTAACCTTATTCCGTTAGACATTATTGATTTTGATGTGATTTTGGGCATTGATTGGTTGCACTACAATTGTGCCAAAATAGATTGTTATGGAAAGACAATCACATTCCATCGTCCTGGATTACCTGAAGTTACATTTGTAGGAGAGCCTAGCGGGGTGAGGCATGGTGTTATTTTTACCATGAAAGCCAAAATATTGTTGTTGAAAGGTTGTCAGGGATATTTGGCTCATGTGGTGTTGAATGATGATGCTCTTTGTAATGTGGAGGATGTGCGTGTGGTTAGGCATTTTCCGAATGTGTTCCCTGATCATTTGCCTGGATTACCGCCAGATAGAGATGTGGAGTTCACTATTGATTTGTTTCCAGGTACAGATCCTATATCTTTGACTCCA